CAACTTCCTCTAAATAACAAATAACTTTTTTTTTTAAACAAATAACATCTAAAAAGTTTAATAAGAATCTCACCAAAATCACTCGGCTCGTCGTCATCAATTACTGCCAAATAATTCTCGCTGTCACTAATCTCTCTGCTACAATTTGTCACTTTAACATCAGCCAGCGTTACAATACGGAAAGGAAAGTTGTAATGCCAAAAAAAAAAAAAAATTAAATTACAGAATTAAGAAAAGAGCACCTCTGGGAATCACTAGTTGCCCTGATGAAGGGGCCCTGCGTGGCCCCAAAACGTTGGCTATGTCATGTTTGTTACATTTCGCTTCAATAAATAAGCACGAGGATTAAATGCTTCTCCTGGAGTTCTGGCAATCATCTTCTACAAGGGGGAATCCTTCCTGATAGGGGTGCACCGTATTTTGGTACCGAGTACGAGTACCAATATTTTTTTTTTCCGGTACTCACCGATACCAAATACCGATACCGGAAGTCCCACTCCCAGTCGCCACCCGGCTTCCCGATTTACAAGAAAGCCGTCCCATGCTTCTAGTCACTAGGTGACGAGAAAGCATGGAGCCGGCTTGCTGGCAAATCATGGAAGCTGATTGGCCGGGAGATCGGCTCCATGCTCCCTCATCATGAGATGACGAGGGAGCATGAAGCCGGCTTCCCGACCAATCAGGAAGCCTGGCAGCGTGTAATGACGCGCTACCCGGTTTCCTGATACAGGAAGTATCGGGCTAGGCATCAGAGCATCCGGTGCATCCCTACTCCCCGAATCGCCTTCTGATACACAAAGTACTTCAAGACACCGACCAATCTCTGGCCGAGTATGTGATCATGTGACTACCATGGAAAATGGTCACCGGCACTCCAAGTTTCCTTCAAAACGAAATACTTTTATTCATCCTAGTCGGGGGGGGGGGGGGGGGTATGGCTGAATGGCGGCCGGTGTCACTGACAGGAAGCGTCCTGATTGACTGATGGGAGATTTGGCGTTCAGTTTGCGCGGCGAGGGGACGGCGCGTCAGTGTAGACTTCACACCAGAACAGACAGTGACTGAGGGCCGCAGCGGAGGGTTTAAAGGCTCCAAATCGTTGTTATTGTTTCCTGAAAGCCGATATCAGCGGCAGAGTCTTGTGCCGCGCCGTCCATCGATCAATGCAGAAAGATCGCAGTTTAATGATCCCCCTGATTAAGTTATTAAAGATGTAAATGTTTCCGGGTCCATTATATCCCTTCTCCATACATACAGCATTGTACGAAACCCGAGGGGGGAGGGGTCTTATGGAAGCCGAAAACTTTCATCTTTAATAGTTATCCAATAAAAGGGATCAAAGTCCCAAAGCCAGAATGTCACCGTTCCGTCCATTGTACATACATTGTAACATGTTCATATCATCATCATAGTTTCACTTTTTCTTTTGTGATGTCATCGGTCTCTAATGAATGGATAGGCTGCACTCTCAGTGATGTCACCGGTCTCTAGTGAAGGGATAGGCTGCATTCTCAGTGATGTCACTGGTCTCTAGTGAATGGATAGGCGGCATTCCCAGATGTTGTCACCGTCTCTAGTGAAGGGATAGGCTGCATTCTCAGTGATGTCACTGGTCTCTAGTGAATGGATAGGCGGCATTCCCAGATGTTGTCACCGTCTCTAGTGAAGGGATAGGCTGCATTCTCAGTGATGTCACTGGTCTCTAGTGAATGGATAGGCGGCATTCCCAGATGTTGTCACCGTCTCTAGTGAAGGGATAGGCTGCATTCTCAGTGATGTCACTGGTCTCTAGTGAATGGATAGGCGGCATTCCCAGATGTTGTCACCGTCTCTAGTGAAGGGATAGGCTGCATTCTCAGTGATGTCACTGGTCTCTAGTGAATGGATAGGCGGCATTCCCAGATGTTGTCACCGTCTCTAGTGAAGGGATAGGCTGCATTCTCAGTGATGTCACTGGTCTCTAGTGAATGGATAGGCGGCATTCCCAGATGTTGTCACCGTCTCTAGTGAAGGGATAGGCTGCATTCTCAGTGATGTCACTGGTCTCTAGTGAATGGATAGGCGGCATTCCCAGATGTTGTCACCGTCTCTAGTGAAGGGATAGGCTGCATTCTCAGTGATGTCACTGGTCTCTAGTGAATGGATAGGCGGCATTCCCAGATGTTGTCACCGTCTCTAGTGAAGGGATAGGCTGCATTCTCAGTGATGTCACTGGTCTCTAGTGAATGGATAGGCGGCATTCCCAGATGTTGTCACCGTCTCTAGTGAAGGGATAGGCTGCATTCTCAGTGATGTCACTGGTCTCTAGTGAATGGATAGGCGGCATTCCCAGATGTTGTCACCGTCTCTAGTGAAGGGATAGGCTGCATTCTCAGTGATGTCACTGGTCTCTAGTGAATGGATAGGCGGCATTCCCAGATGTTGTCACCGTCTCTAGTGAAGGGATAGGCTGCATTCTCAGTGATGTCACTGGTCTCTAGTGAATGGATAGGCGGCATTCCCAGATGTTGTCACCGTCTCTAGTGAAGGGATAGGCTGCATTCTCAGTGATGTCACTGGTCTCTAGTGAATGGATAGGCGGCATTCCCAGATGTTGTCACCGTCTCTAGTGAAGGGATAGGCTGCATTCTCAGTGATGTCACTGGTCTCTAGTGAATGGATAGGCGGCATTCCCAGATGTTGTCACCGTCTCTAGTGAAGGGATAGGCTGCATTCTCAGTGATGTCACTGGTCTCTAGTGAATGGATAGGCGGCATTCCCAGATGTTGTCACCGTCTCTAGTGAAGGGATAGGCTGCATTCTCAGTGATGTCACCGGTCTCTAGTGAATGGATAGGCGGCATTCCCAGATGTTGTCACCGTCTCTAGTGAAGGGATAGGCTGCATTCTCAGTGATGTCACCGGTCTCTAGTGAATGGATAGGTTGCATTCTCAGTGATGTCACCGCTCTCTAGTGAATGGATAGGCTGCATTTCAGTGATGTCACCGCTCTCTAGTGAATATAAAAGCTGGATGACAATACATTGCGCTCTGCCTGTGCTTTGTATACTCTGTAATGTCTCTAATGGGCTTATTCAATAGAGAAGTGCACATGACAATGGTTGTTTGGGAAGGTCAGTAACCCTCCTAATCACATTTAATCTCCATCAAGCCGGAATGCTGTCAGATGATTTGTTTGGCTCCTCCGTGCTGTGTACATTATCCTCCCTCATTGCTGGTCTGTCTATACATTGCAGCTGGGTGTCTATACACTCGAAGTCTCCGACTTTCTGCAGTACAGTGTGTGGGTTTGCAGTGAACAGAACATGCGTTACTACAGCAACAGCTGCTGGGTTTAAAGTGCCCGGAAAACAATGCGGCCCTCACGCCTGGGATGTGATCGGTATACAGATAGATGGCTGATAGCGTCATGGGAACAGCTGTCCGCGGCGGGCCCCGTGCAATGGCCGGGGTGGCTCACTTACCACATAGAGCTGCTTCCATAGTGAGGCCCATTCTTGCAGCGTAGACGTCACCTCTGTGACCAGGGGGTCTTCCACCGGAACCACCGTCTCATACTGCCTGCAGGGAGAGAGAGGAAGAGTAACATCAGGCCGCCAGGAAGCCAACCGATCACCCACTGCGACAGGCTGAGCGTCGTGAGTCACCCGCAGCAGGGGACAGGCTCGTCCTATGTCACCTAACGTGTCTGTAGCAGCATCCACCGGACTAATTACACGGCATAGCCGAGCAAAACCACAAAAAATGATGATATGCCATAGCCCAGAGCAACCAATGGAGGTGCAGATTACTCACAGCCCTCATCCATCCTCGCTTCCATTCAAATCCCTCCGGTAACCCGCCACCCCCCCTCCCCCCCTCAATACAGAGATCTGTACATGAAAAGCTCCAAATATCTGCAAGAATGTATCAATCTTAAAGGGAAACTTCATTAAAAAGCAAACTTTGATGTCGTTAGATACTAAAAGGATACATTTCATTGGCTTTATACATTTGACAGTACCCCACAGTAGTTTGTGTCTCTGCCCCTCCCACAATGGTGAGATTTCCCCCAGTAGTTTGTGTCTCTGCCCCTCCCACAATGGTGAGATTTCCCCCCAGTAGTTTGTGTCTCTGCCCCTCCCACAATGGTGAGATTTCCTCCAGTAGTTTGTGTCTCTGCCCCTCCCACAATGGTGAGATTCCCCCCAGTAGTTTGCGTCTCTGCCCCTCCCACAATGGGGAGATTCCCCCCAGTAGTTTGTGTCTCTGCCCCTCCCACAATGGTGAGATTCCCCCCAGTAGTTTGTGTCTCTGCCCCTCCCACAATGGTGAGATTTCCCCCCAGTAGTTTGTGTCGTGACGCCGTCCTCCTTTGCGATAATTGCGGGTTGGGAAGGTTTCGGCGTTACTTTCAGGAGAGAGAAGGGGGGAACGTGGACGCTCCGCGGAATACCAAACTTGTGATGACATCGAGGGGCTGATTACGGCCGTAAAACCCGATCAAAGATGCGAAACCATCTTCCCTGTCAGAGGGATTCTAACAAGACGCACATGAGCCGAGGAGGCCGCGCACCCTACGCAGAGCCTAATGGAAGGGAAAATTTTGCAATGGGGGGAAATTCTGAGATGGGGGGTT